AGCGAGGTGCTCCGTGGCTGCGATCTCCTCGGCCCGCGCCTGGCGCCCAGGCGAGCTGGAATTCGAGGGGGCGCACGGGCAGGCGGCGGCGGCCGCGGACCTCGGCGTCGGGGGGGCGCGACTGCAGCTGAGGGAGTTCTTGGACCTGGCAGTGGCCAAGGAGCCAGTGCAGAAGCGGCTGGGCGCGCTCCATGGCTGCCCTGAACTGGCCATGCTGGAGGGCGCCGCGGCGAAACTCGTGGCGGCGGCCAGTCGAGGGGCCCCCGGCGCCTCGCCGCCGACGGGGGCCCGCGCGATGGCAGGGAACCGCATCGTGTAGGGGTGCCGCGCTGCAGCGGTGGAGAGTTGTCGCGGGTTGGAGGCGTGGGGGTGGGCTCGATGGAAGCCTCGCTGGGACATGCCGCTCGAAGAGATGCGGGCGCCCGCGCAGGTGGCGGCGCGGTCTTGCGCAGGCCCAGAGCCAGCGAAGGGCGGCGTCGCGGGCCGCGCGCGCATCACCGCGGTGAGATCTCGCGTGCAAGGCGAGCCATGGAATGCGCTGGCGGCTCCGGCGCGCGCGCAGTGCCCCGCGGCCCGAGGCGATCGCGCGCTTCATCGGTTGCGTGCGCGCCAGGGCTGCCGAGCCGCGCGGGCAGACCGTGCCCGACAAAGCCTTATGCGCCATGGTGTGAACGGATCGCGTGGAGGGAGCGCGACAGACGTCGTCGCTAGGCCCGATTCCCACCAGGTCGTCGCGAACGTGGGGGCTCTCTTCGGCGCTGGCAAAAGCCCGACGACGAGGGCGGCGCGGTTCCCCAGCGCGTTCATTGGGGCCCTGGAGGGGCTGGGCTGGTCATCGACGAGTGCCTCGCGAAGCGCCTGCGCTGGGTGGCGTGGCTCCGCCTTGTCAAGGTGAGGGAGGTGTTGCGCTGCGACGACCGCGGCTGGTTCCCGCTGCAACGCCTCGCCTGCGTGGGCGGGGGGCTGTCGGCCACGCTGGGGCGCGCAAAGACCAGCGGAGCTGTGCGCGAGATGCTGGAGCTGCCGCTTGTGGTATCCTGTGGATGCTACATGCTGGTCTTGGCGTGGATCCAGACGGGCTTCGACTTGTGGCAGGACGTCGTATTTTTTTTTCGGGGGGCTAATTTTGGCCGCGGTGCGATGATGCAGGACTGGATGTGGCCCGCGATCCTGCGGGGCACGCAGAGGCGGCGGCGGCGGGTCAGGGGGTGCCCCGAAGGATGCTGCAGCCAGCGGCCTGATCGGCGTGGGGGTCGAGCTTCGCGTCTTTCAGAAGGTCGTGAATTTCCGGGCGGGGCATTCGGAAGGGGCGACGATTCCCTCGGCTATGGCGGCGATGGGGACACCGAAGATCGAGCGCATCTGCCGCTTGGCAGGAGGTCGCCGCGAGGCGCGGGCACCCGCGCAAGGGCGTGCCGCGCCGTTGTCTAGGCTCCAGCGGCGGGGCGCAGGGGCATTGCGTCCGGGAAGGCCTGCGCGGGGCTGGGCGAGGCGGCGGCCATCCCGGACCTGGCGAACTGGTCGGTGCAGAGTGGGGGTGTCTCGGTGCGGGAGGCGGCAAAAGGGGCCGCCGAGACTTTCGCGTCTCGCATGGCCTGCGCTGGTTGGGCCCAGAGGCCATGGTCGATCTGGGGGGAGAAGGGGGCGCGGCGGCGCCGACGGCGGCCGCGATGCCCCCGTGAAGAGTGCAGGGGGCAGAGGGCGGCCGTGACGGCGTCGACGACGGCAGCTGGGCGAACATTCAGTTCGGGGGTTGAGGGCGGCAGCCCCCCCCAGAGGACAGCGACGCCGAGGAGGACGGCAGCTACCTCATCGTGGGCGCGAAGAAGCGCAAGGTGGCCAGGCCACGCAAAGTTGGGGGGCCGTGGCTGGGCTTCTGGCAGGTCGCCGTTGAACGCGACTTACTTCGACGAGGTGCCAGTCCCGAAGAGAGAATGACATGGCTCGCCAGAGGCGTTGCCGCCCCATTCCGCTGAGATGACCGTGGCAGCCTCCGCGAGCGAGGGCGATGTCTCGGAGAGTTTATCGAGTCATCGAGCTCCTCGGGCTCCGAGGAGTGCGACGAGACCATCCAATGGGAGGCAGCCGGCGTAGGAGGGCGCGGGCGGCGGCGAGCTCCACGCGGTCCTTCAGGATCGTATCGCGCCAGCCCAGTGACGAGGCAGCCGAAGGGGGTGCCAGCGGCGGCGGGTCCCGCGGACCGTTGCTTGCGGCGAACAGCGCGAAGCAGAGGGTTCAACGCGACCTTTCGGGTCGGGAACCGCTGCGCGGCCCAGGGCGCGCCCGGTGCAGGCGGCGTGGGCAGTCCAGGCTCGGCAGATGGGGGCCGCGCGGAGGTGGGCGCCTCGTCGGCGCGCCGCGGGGTAGTCCCGGGCCCCCGTCTGCCAGCGGGCGCCCCCCACGTCGATGGTGCCCGCCTCAGCCGTGGACCCTTCCGTCCGCCGAGGGCGGGGGGGGTCCTGGTGGGGGAGGGCGTCGTCGCGCTGGGCTGGGTCCCGCG